CAAACCAAACCAAACCAAACCAAACCAAACCAAACCAAACCAAACCAGTCTACAGAGCAAGTTCCTGATACTCTGTCAAAAAACAAACAAAAACAAAACAAAAAACCCAACCCAACCCAATCCAAACTCAAACCCAACCAAACAGAAAGAAAAGTCTGGGAGTTGGGAGGTGAAGGAAGGAGGATTAGGAGTTCTAGGCTACTCTAAGTCCAGTTTCTAGTTACTGAGCTTCATAAACTGCATTTGTAGCTCCCAGGACAATGGATTGTAGGTTGAATGTAGTCAGCTATGGATGATCTAATGAACAAATGAATGGAGGTACAGGGTGCCCAGAATAAACTGGATCAAACTAATTTAAACTTCATAATGAGATGGGATGTTGTGTTAGTATCCTAGGGACTCCGAGAGGCTTTTTTTCCCTATAGGATAATGTTGAAATCTTAATCTTGGGACAAAGAGGCAGACAGCGCTGTTGGCCAATTTTCAAGGAAGCAGGAAGGGTTTTGATATAATCTTTCTCCCCTTTATCTTAATGATTTAATCTTTATGATGTAGGCGCATCTAAAAAAACCCGGATTATGTATCTTCATAGATACAAAGGAGAGATGGAATTTTAAAATGTACAGTCCTAAGCTCATATATCCACCTGGATCTATACACATTCACCAAAAGACAATTTTGTTAGGAGCAAAGAGTAGGATCGTTTTTGAATATAAATTGTCTTCTCTCAAAAAATAACAGCTGATCTCAGGGGCTGGAGAGATGGCTAGAAACACTAGCTGTTCAATTCCCACCACTCACATGGCAGCTCACAACTGTAACTCCAGTTTCAGGGGATTCCACACACAGAGACAAATATGTAGGCAGAACATCAATGTACATAAAGTAAAATAAAAAAATAAATTTAAAAAGTAAAGAAAACAAAACCAGTCGATTTCAAGAATTTTACTAGCTGGATCGCCCATAAGTCTTGGTGGAGCTTGAGTGAACGGTCATTGAGGCTGCGGCTCGAGGAATGGAGCAAAGAGAAAACGGAAGCAGGTCAGTCTTGAAAACGCAAGGTTCCTGACGAGCACGGGCTGCCTCATTGGGACAGGAATTAGGGGTTTTACTCTCCCCAGTTTGTAGTGGGAGCAAAGAGAGCTCCGCCAAAGGACAGAGAAGGCAAGGCTGGCCAGCTTTGAAGTCCGTCTCCTCCAGATCCTTCAGCCCACAACCCACGTCGAGCCAAGCCCCGGGGCTCCAGAGTTGCCTAGCAACTCGCACGCCGCTTGGACTCTCCACCGCTCAAGCAGCAAGGTGTAACCCTAGGGAGACCGGTTCGGCCACGCCTGCCATAAGGGACACGTGGACTCATAGGAACGGGCCGCGTAGTGGGCGGGCCCGACGGCTCCAGTGGGCGGGCAGGAGGCTGTGCGCGTGCGCGGCTGGGCGAGGGGCGGGTTCGGCGTGTGGAGTAAAAGCGTCCGGGGACGGCAACTGACAAGGTTCATGCTGAAGTGCTTCGCGACTGCTTCGGGGATTATCAGGGTGAGCGAACCTGCGGGCGGGTCACCCTCGGGGCAGTGGTCGGTCGGCGGATCCGGGACCAGGGGCTTGGGATGGGAGGCCTGGGCGGTGGGGTGGAGGATGCCGACCATCCGAGCGCACCGGGACCTGTGGCCCACGGCGGCAGCCTGTCTTCCGAGAGGGTTTCGGGGCCAGACGTGTCTGTCCGGCTGAGCCCCGCGGTTCTGTTTTTGCTCACCCCATCCCCGGGCGACTCAGTACCAGGCTGTAGGGCCAGCTGTGTGGGCTGGACACGGATCCCGGCTTGCCTGGAAGCACGCGGGCCGCAGGCGTTACTCCATCTGCTCCTGGCTCCCACATCTTCCTCCGGGCAGACCCACAAGTCTTGGCGGGGTTGGCTAGTAGCCCGGGAGGCTAGGTAGACAAGGGATGCTCGTTTCTCCTGTTTTCCCTTTCTGGGGCATGGCACCTCCATCCGTCTACACATATGCCAAAACCAGAGGCCTGGGAGTCATGCTCACCTACACTCATCAAATTCTTTGAACTCGTTCAGAACTCTCACTTTTCTAGACACCTTGCCTTAGCAATCAGTTCTCTTTTCTTCTCCTTTGATATTTCCTGACCCTTTTCAACGTGTCCAATACAAGGGAGCTAAAGACACTCTTAAAACAAATCTCTTATGCTCAGCCAGCCCTGCCCCATTCCCTGGTCCTTCTTTGGATTCTCATTGTCTTTCCAAGCTCTTCCTCCCTGCAGTGTCTGTTGTGACTCACTGTCTTTGTACGACACTCAAGACCTGTCCCTCCTCCCAGGTCATTTCTGAGTTTAGATGTTCACTGCCACATGTTCTGTCTATGGAGGGACACACTGTATTTTTGGTTGAGATTATTTCCTCTCACGCTTTCTGTGGATGGGCTTTCTGTGATACCTCTTGCATGCCTCTTTAGTGGCCTCTGTTTTGCATGAGGCTGTCCTGTGTGAGAAAGGAGTCTGCCTGTTCTCACAACCTTCACAGTTTTGTTCCTCCTATGGTACTAGGCTGTTAGTTAAGTGTCAGTTATAAGGTAGCATGGTTTTCCTTTGGAATCCCCCAATGAACAGATGGATCAAACGATTAAACATCAGCCTTGTTCAGGACAAGTTCTCAACCTCAGCCCATGTAGAGGTTTCTTTAATCCAGAGATTTACTGGTTGGTTTTACTTCAAGAACATGGAGAGGACCAGAATTAGGAAGCACTAGTCAGTTTTCCTTGGCATTGGCTCTGGGTACAGGATATTTGGGTGTTGTCAAATGTGACTGCTTTGAATGTAAATTCCTAACTAAGAGCCTCTGACTTAGAAAAAGGCTGCCAACAGCTGTTGGGAGGAAAGCTCACTCCCTGATAGGAATAATGACACAGTGGGAGGGAAGGGTGGGCCAGGTCCTTCTGTGGAGCAGAGCTCCAAAGGGAGAGCTCAGCTTAGACCAGAGCCTCTGAGATAAAGACTAAGGGCTGTGCTACATCTCACCGTTTTCATCCGTTTTCTGACCGGTTGTTCCAAGCCAGCTCAGCATTGTTCAGCTCACAAATGAGTGAACACAGGTTCTGGCCTTTGGAAAGAGGGAAAGGAAAGATAGGAAGGAAGCAACAGACAAGGAAGCAAGGGGTATTAGCAGCAAGAGTCTTTAGGTCACATTTGAACTGGGCCTTGAAGGAATGGCTAGACAGTCAGTGGCAACGGAGTCCTATGGTCCTTTGTTGGAGTCAAGGCCCTGAGGGAAGGCCCTGTCAGACTCATGCTGCTCCTTGAGATGAATGCTAAGGCACGGATTGTTTTCTACAGCCCGCTCTGGATGCAGCAGGTCATACCACACTGATCACTAGGGTTAGTGGTGATAGTCTGTTGGGCTTAGCAATATCCTTTGCCTCTTTCTTTGCTGTGTTGTCTCTCCCAGAGTTTCTCATTCTGTTGAAGATGACCTCCTCCAAAGGATGAAGAACAGTATTTCAGTCAAGAGTATATAAATAATTGTGCTAACCTATAAATAAACCATTTATAGGAGAACATAAGACAGTCAAGTTTCTAAGACTCCAGGCCCATCAAAATGAGCCTCTGTACATGGGAATCTGCCTGTCTTTAGAAAAGGAAAATCAGTTGTCAGTCTCTTCCTTAGTTGGATTTTTCTCTAGCTTGGCTTATGCCATTTCCTGAAGGCTAGTGAGCCAAGGAACCCTTGGGGCTTATCTTCCAGGCCGTGTGCCCATGGCCTTGAACTAAGTAGTTGGTGTGGATGATGCAATGTGCTCTTTGTGCAGGATGGAATACTCTGTTTTTCCTTCTGACTGGGAACAGTTTAATCTGACAAGTGGCAGTCACTTTGTGGGATCTTCCTTTTGATTTACTGGGTCTGGTATTTATTGTGCTTTCATGGTTGGGAACTTGCTGCAGCAAGCTCAGAGGTTCTTGGCTTTTATACTGAAGAGAGGATAGCCTGAACTCGCAGTTCCTGTGTTTATTAACCACTTGGTCAATGTCTGCTATCACGTCAGTTGAAAACATCCCATAGATACACATCCCAGTTGGAGCCAACCATGTTGCTAGAGGAAAAGGTGCCATGGATTCAACTTTCTAGTAGATAGCTCCAAGGTCCTCCCTTCCATTATACTGACATCAGAATGTAGTTGCAAGCTATAGACCTTGCCTCTCGATATATAAATAGAGAGCAATTAAACAAGACACCTGAAATCAATGTAGCCTTCACACACACTGAAGCACGATGCCACCCTCCTCAACATGCACATATTTAAAAAAAAATCTTGGCTGTGTATCTGTGGTTATCCCTCTAGTCCACCAAGGACCATGACCCACAGGGCACACAAGCTGCGAGCCAGTAGTCTAGATACCAGGCAGTTGCCCTGTACTGAGAATGTCTTCCTATTCCAGTCCAGAAGCCAGGAACCAAATATATTGGAAGAACAAGTAAGCCAGACTCAGGGGACTTTGCTAGGAGTTCAGCCTGGTGGCACATCCCTGCATCCCAGCACTTGGGAGGTGAATGTAGATGATCGTAGTTTAAGCCAGTGTGAGTTATATAGTGACAGCCTGTTTTAAAACAGTGAAACAACAAAAAGCCAAGGGGATAAAAAGTGAGTTGCCTGGAGAAGACACTGAAGGTAATTGAGTCTGAGGGGCTGAGTAGGACTGGATCTCCTTTCCGGTCCTTCCTATCCTCACACTCTTAAGATGTGGGCTCAGAACAAGTTGTTATACTCTGGCTTGGGTTAAGTGAAGTCAGCATAGTAGGCACTGTTCCAGGTACAGTTGCCCTGGCTGGGTCTAGATGCTAACTTCTTAAGTTGGAAGTATGGTTTCTGACTCTCTTGAATTATCTGGAGATAAGAGTTAGCTAGAAACCGCCACTTAGTATTAGAACAGAATTATGGGAGGGATTATATATAGATATGGAAAAAAATAATTTATAGTAGATTTTTTGTTTGTTTGTTTGTTTGTTTTTAGATAGGATTTCATTATGTAGCCATGACTGGCCCAGTGGGTAAACTGAGGACTGGAGTTCAGATACCCAGTACCCACATAAATGTCAGGTATTTGTGGCAGCTGCCAGTAATCTCAGTGCTTGGGGAGAAGAGAGGGACAGAGATGAGGGTTAGAGGCAAGGTCACCAGCTAGACTAGTTGAGTCAGCTAGCTTGGGGTTCAGCCAGAGACCCTGCCTTAATATATAAAGTACAAAGCAACTGAGGAAGACACCTGAAGTCAACATGGCTTCCATACACATGTAGACCAGGCTGGCCCCAAATTCACAGAGATTCACTTACCCCTGCGTCCCAAGTGCTGGGTTTAAAGGGTGTTTCCACCACATCCAGTTAGAGTTGACATTTTGAAATAGCAGAAAAGTAAAAGGATTAGTCACTCCTAATCTTATAAATTCAACACTTTGTTAAACAGTGTACTTGTGTTTATGTGTGTGCACATATTTATTTTGCAACAGTGAGTTATGGATAGATGTTCTGCTTGATTTTTCATTTAATCTCTATTAGAAACCTTATGCAGAATGATAGATTGCATAATGTCACTGCATAGTAGTTAGGCTACATACTGCTTTTAGGAACCCTCTGTGATGGTTTGTGTATGCTCAGGAGTAGGTGTGTCACTGTGTGGGTGGTCTTTAATTCCCTAGTCGTAGCTGCTGGGAAGTGAGTATTCTGCTAGCAGCCTTCAGATGAAGATGTAGAACTCTCAGCTGCTCCTGCATCGTGTCTTCCTGGACGCTGCCCTGCTCCCACCTTGATGATGATGGACTGAACCTCTGAGTCTGTAAGCCAGCAAAATTAAATGTTGTCTTTTATAAGACTTGCCTTGGTCATGGTGTGTGTTCACAGCAGTAAAACCCTAAGACACCCTTACAGTGGTTGCTGATCTTTTTATAGGGACTAATTGTGGGGGATGGGCAAAAAAAGGTTGGAGAAATCTTGAGATTACTCTCTCTTGGGTCCTCTCTGAGAACATTTCGGATCCTAATAGGGCCACAACGTTTCTGCTTTCCAACCCTTGGCACCAGGAGAAGACAGCAGCTTCAGAGCCATGTTTGAGTTTAGGGTGTGTTAAAGAGGGACCTAAATATTATGCTTTATCTTTACTGATGAAGGTTTGGGGTCATGCTACTGTTATTCATGGTGGAATTGTCTCTGCCTTTTGATGAGGACAGCTGGCTGTGTTTACAGTCCTGAGCTGTCTGTCACCTTCCATTTTGAGGTGAGTCTGTAATCTAAGCCCAGAGGGGCAGGACTTTTCATCGAACCAGCAGTTAATTACAGTACCTATGATATGATGTAATTTGGTCTTCAAAGAGCTTGCCGGTGGCTGAATTGTCTTGTTGATCTTAATTCCAAGTGCATTAAGATGTAACATGAGTTTCTCTGTAGCTTTCCTTTCTGATGTTCTCAGTTTGGTTAAAGTTATGAGATCCTCTCTGGACCCTGGCAGGTGGACAAGGTCAAGATGGTGGTCTCTTCTCCCCTTCACTGCTTTGTGGTTGATATGACTAGCTTGGTTGCTTCCCTCAGCTCCCATGGTCCTGTCTCCAGCCCTGCCTTACCCCATCGCTTTCCATCAAACTGCCAGCTGAGTCCACCTAAAGCCCCGCCAGCCTGCGACCTAATCTCTAGTCATGACTTGTCAGTGCTTCCCACTTGTTCTCAGGAAGTGTCAGCCTCTTGGCTCAGCATGTGCCCGCTGCCATAGCACCTGCCTCACTACCTGCACTTTCTCCCCATCAGCTGCCATTATCTCCCAGATCCAGTGTCTGTCCAGGCCTGGCTGAAGCATTGTGGGTCTGTCTGCCTTCACTCAAGGAGATTTCTTCAGAACTCCCAAAAGTTTTCTCTGTTTTGAAAATCTCTCATTTTGGTTTGTTGTACTCCAGTAGGAAGCATTTCTCTCTGAGCTTATACAGGATGATCTTTGGATCCTTGTGTGCTCTTGGATGACTGCTCAGCCCTTTGATATTAACATTGTGGACCTGTACTGCCAGTTCTGGGTTGGGAAGCAGGCAACCTGTGGCAGAACTGGCCCTTTCTTTCTTTTGTCCTTCCTTCCTTCCTTCCTCCTTCCCTCCCTCCCTCCCTCCCTTCCTCCCTCCCTCCCACCCTTCCTTCCTATTTTTCTTTCTTTCAAGACAGAGTTTCTCTGTGTGGTCCTGGCTGTCCTGGTACTAGCTCTGTAGACCAGGCTGGCCTTGAGCTAGGAGATGTGCCTGCCTTTGCCTCTACATCCCAACTGCTAGGATTAAAGGTGTGCACCAGTACCCTAGGCTGCCTGTTTTCTGTGGTACTGGAGTGCAGCGTGGCACCTTGTGCACCAAGCAGGGGCTGTATGACTGAGCTGGCATTGGGCCTAGGTCTCAGTGCCCTTGTCTGTAGCTCATGGTCTCCCAGGATTCCCAGACGCATTGCCTGCTCTGGGGCTGTGCCTTCACCTTGTGTTTCCCACCACCCAGGTACTGGAAGCATGGCATCCCTGCAGCTGCTCACAGCTCCCTTCCTGTGTGTCCTGCTCTGGGCCTACTGTGCTCTAGGTGCCAGGGCCCAGGAGCATGGGGCTGGTGTCCATCATGGCAGCATGGGCCTGGACAAGAGCACAGTGCACGACCAAGAGTATGTATTCAGTTGGGCCAGGGTTCTGCCTCCCTGCCATCTGCAGCTATAGCTCACAGGTCACCCCCACCCTCCTTCCCTTTCTTTCAATTTGTAGGACTCCTGAACAGTTTTCAGTGTTTTCATTATCCTTTGGGACTCCTGGTAGTGAGATATCTGTCTTCATCATCTCACAGGTGGAGGCTCTTGAAGCCTAAACAGTGAATTATTTGTCAGAATTTAGACTTCCATCCCTACCCAACACACACAGTAACAGAATCCAGAATATGATTATGGTTTCCTGATTATGACAAGACTCTCCTTTAGTGACACATTCAAACACTGAGTCTTTCTTGGCCAATAAGATTCACATTTGGCGTTATTATCTGTGTTTGTTTGTTTGAGACAAGGTCTCACTAGGTACCCTCACTGGTCTGGAACTTGCTATATAGACCAACCCTTGAACTCAGAGAGATCCATCTGCCTCTGCCTCTGCCTCCCAAGTAGTAGGATTAGAGACATATGCCATTATGCCCGTCTTAATCTTTATTTAAATTGGTAGTTCAAGACATATTTTAAACAAGTTCTAGCAGTAACAGTAAAGAGAAAGTGCCTCAGTCCACTAGGCCACTAGGTGGCCCGCTGTGCTGTGTGTGATGTGGCCCTGCCCCTTTGGTGGCCCTGGCTGTGTGCTGTGTTCTTGACTGTGCACTGTTTCAAAGTCCTTCTAGGTTTTGACATAGTCTGACTGTTGGTTTTCAGGCACATCATGGAACATTTGGAAGGTGTCATCAACCAGCCAGAGATGGAGATGTCCCCCCAGGAACTGCAGCTCCATTATTTCAAAATGCATGATTATGATGGTAACAGTTTGCTTGATGGCCTAGAGCTTTCAACAGCCATCACTCACGTGCACAAGGAGGTAGGTCGATGAGGTCGGATGGGCATCTGGGTAGATGGTGCCCACGTTGGTAAGCTGTGCTGTGCTCACGCCTCAGCAGAGCTGCTGAGCTCTTTCCCATTAGCATTAATCTGTCCTCATATCCCACCACCCCACCCTTGCCCCAGAGATACTGAGCCTGGTTGGCCCAAGGCTTGACATTGCTACTACAGCTGGAGTTTGAGGGTCCATCCTAAAAACACAAGCCAGGTTCACAGTGTAGAGCACAGGAAAGGGGTCATTTCATCTGAGAACAAGGGTGACTCCAGGACCAAGGGACAAAGCTTTGGAAGTAGTTGGGGATTGTGTCATACTGTTAGGTGTCTCCTGGTGTCTCAAGGTGTGGTCAAGTAGAGATGTCTCAGTCTCCATGTCCACCTGAGTCAGCAGGGGTAGACACTTACTCCTCTGCCTGGTGGAGGCAGGGAGGGGGTGAGAGGGAGCCCAACAAGCTTTCACCGAGGTGAGATTAATGTCAGAGAAGAGTTAAGAGCCAGAAGTCCTGGCACGGGAGTGGTAGTGTGGTCATGAGATGTGGGACATAAGGGTGGGAGATGGGGCAAGGAAGAACTAGTCGCCACAGGAATGGCCAGGGCTTTGTCATTGGTACAGCCCTCCTACAGCAGCCTCTAGAACTGCGCAGGGATTTCTCTTCAGCAGTGTTTTCTTCCTCTTGTTTTGACCCTGAGGTGTTCAATGTCACCGTTTCTATTTTCTTAGGCAAATCGTGGGTGGGCTGGCCCTGTTGAAGATTTTCCTTATGATGGGTGTGTAAGTCACAGACTCTGACAAACAGTTCTTTGTAATCCAGACTCAGCTTTCTGCAGTGACTATACATTACCTTGTAACTAAACAATGATGAACAGTAATTATTTAGGCAAAAAAGCAAGGGTCTGTTTTCATCACATCTCTCTGTAAGTGGCATATGTAGTTTCTCACTTGGAGTTTTATGAATTGACACTTGACATGAGCCTGGATTCCTAGAAGTGGTGCGTACTACCTCAAAGGCACTTACCTAGATAAGTGGCCCTTAGGCAGTTGCTAATGTCCTCTATAACTCTGCTCCTCACTCTCTTGTGTACCTCTCGGTAGGAGGGGAGTGAGCAGGCCCCAGCCATGAGTGAGGATGAGCTCATCAGCATCATAGATGGTGTCCTGAGAGATGACGACAAGAACAATGATGGCTACATCGACTACGCTGAGTTTGCAAAGTCACTGCAGTAGCCAGCTGGCCCTTTACTTATGCAGATGTGTGACTCTTGCTAATGTGATGAACATGTCTGGTAATGCGAAATAACTTATTTCCAATCGACTGCTGCAGCACTTTGGTAAGAGCCTGTGGCAGTTTGTTAGACTGGGTGAGGAAAAAGCCACAAGGAATACGGAGAGAAGAGCAACAAGCCTCAGGCTCTACGTGGATTTAAACTTGTTGGACAAGAGCTGGATGCGGACCTTCAGAAGGGTGGTGGGTATTTCCAAGCTCTCAGGAACCTGACTGTAGAATGCCACTCAAATTTCTTAATGTTAATTCATGCTACCTGAAAAGTAAAGACAGTCTGCTTTGCCAAGTGGACACACTGCAGTAACAGTTGGAGGGAGAGCATGAAAGCCACATGCTTTCCCTGGTCAGTCCTGTCTCTAGGCAGATGTAGTCAGAATTCTGTTCCCCAGGCATACTGTGTCATATAGTGAAGTCACAGCAGAAGAAGGATGTCACCCATTGAGTCCAACCAGATGCAGAGTCTAAGATTCCTTGCCCACTGGCATTTTGGAAATGAAGCACCACTGGCCTAAATAAGTAGCCTTTTCCAGATCTGTAGGATCTTATACAACTACTGCCACACTCTGTGTTCTGTCATTCTAACCTGAGAGAAACCTTGAATTGGGTATGTTCTCTAATCACTATCTACTGTTTGAGCATTCCTGATCCTTCTATTTTATCCTTGCTCCCAGGGCTCCCTTCATGGATTATGAACTTGATATCACAGGTTTAAAGTATCAGCTGGTCTAGCCTAAGTGAGACCCAGAAAGATAAGTCACTGAGAGTGGTGGATAACCTCATCCAAGTATTGAAGGAATGTTTGTAAAATTACCTCTTCAAACCTGAATATGAGAATTCTTTTAATTTCAGGGAAGATTAGAAAAGGAAGCCTAAAGCCCTTTAGTGTTGTGAACCTCACTAGTAGCTGAAAGAGAAGCAGCCACAGGATATAGTTTGCTTTGTGAGACATCCTAGACATATTGTAAAAGAATCCAGAATGATGGCAGGATCAGAAACTGAATCAAATCTGCTCTAAGATATATAGAGACTTATTTTCTTTATTAAAGTATTCTTGTAAGACAGTTTTCTGTGTCAAGTATTTGTGTAATAAGAGCTGACTTGTAAGCTATTCTTGTAATATCTTATTACTTTGAAAGATTTATATGATGAACTCTGGCTATCTGACAATAAAACATGAAAAAGTAAACAGTCGTTGACTCTGTCTCCCACAAAGCCTCCCCTGCCACCTGAAGGCTGGATCAGGACCAGGACCCTGTTCTGTGGGACAGTAGGCTGTGAGAGGCAGCTGGGTGCCTGCTCAAGCGCATGGCTCGAACCCTGGACCCTAATGGGATGGAAGGTGTTCGGCTTTGCTCCTGTGCTCCTGGTTCCTTTCACTCAGCTTGAACCCTCCACAGAGAGGTCTGTGGCCATCAATCATGTGAGAACAGTGCCTCAGGCTCTCCCACATGTAGATGAGGTGTCTCCAAGCTCTCAGACCAAGCCAGTAGGGGTTATCTGCTGCCAGGCCTTGACCCACCCCAAAACTGTACAAAAGGGTCCTATTCAGGAGAAGTAAAGGTGTGTGAGAATCATCCTGGTGTCCAAGAGTTTCTGTAGCAATAGCTGTAATACTTGGGAAGAGATCTGCTCTCCCAAAGTGGCTTCTCACCGGCCCAGCCCGCACTGGGTCTGTGCAGAGAGACAGGTGCAGCACCTGGGAGTAACTGAGTGGCAACAGCGGAGACTCGGCAGAGGTGATTTCCCCTCCCTGCTCAAACTCTATCCCCTTGGCCCAGACTCCTGCACCCAGCTGGGCCGGAGATCTTCACGGGACATCCTCTGGAACAGGGACCCACACTGTTCCATTTTGCAGAGGGGATTCTCTGTGTTCAGAATCTCTTTCCCCTTCAGCATGTTTTTTTTATCCTTCTGACCGAACTCCCTTTTGAATCTTCCTTCTCCAGCTGGATTCTGGTAGTGACAGTACTCTCTAGAGTAGGCAGTTTCCCCTTGAGTCTGGTGACTTAATTATAGATCACATTATTAGAGTGCTCCCTGGTCCAAGTGTTAGAGCAGTCTCTGTGGCATTCTGAAAAGGACACATTTCCTTTTGCCTGTTGATAAAGATTACTCCCCCTAGCCCAAAGGCCCTTAGACTGTGGCCTGGCCCTTCACGCAGAGCTCCTTGGAAGGATCTTAGCAGTGGACTCAGAACTGGAGGTACCTTACTGTCTGGCAGCCTGGGAGTCAGCAAGGACAGAGAGAAGGTCCTTCAAAGTTAGAACTGGACCGTTAAGCAGGAGAGGTGGGACCTTTCCTCAATTGTTGTCTGTTCTTCATGTCACCTCTGTGGCCCTGTCCCTGCTTGCCTTTCCTGATGGGAGAGTGTCTGGGACATTAGGAACACAGTGTGTCACTCCATACACCCCTTACATCCCCTAGGCAAGGCTTGACTCTCTTTGCCTGTGAATGTTCCAGGGACAGCTGTGCACACTGCCTTATCTGTAGAATGGAGATGTGCCCAGGAGAGGCATCCTGATCCAAGGATCTGGGAGGAGCTGAGTTTAGGTTTCAGGTCAGTGGCCCTGAAGCTGGGCATTTTACAATAAACTCAGTAATGTGGGAGGAGTTGGAGGGAGTGAAGAAAGGAAGGAGAAGGAGGAGGAGGAGCTAAAAGCAGAAATGTAGGAGCCATGGAGGAGGACCATGCATGTATCGAGAGCAGTCCTGGGTAACAACTTATAAGGTTAGATATTAGGAAACACCTCCAATTGTGTGGGCATCTTGTTATTTGAACATTACCAAATATATAAAGCTGTTGGATAATCTTTAAACATTAGAGTCTCATTTCTACCAGGTACCATGCGTGGATGGCGGGATGGTCTGGGCTCAGCCCAGCCTTGTGAAGTCAGTGTGGGAGATTGGCGGAGACATCTCCCATGCTGGCATCTTGTGGGTGCAGGGCCGGTGTTTCTGGCTGGCCATTTCTAGCTGTGGCACGAGTGTGGCCTCTGGCCGCTTCCAGCTGTGGCGCGTGGGCCTCTGGCCCGGAAACATGGTGGCAGAGCTAAGCAGAGCTGCCGCCACTTAGCCAAAGAAATAGCCTTTTTAAAATATTACAGTAACAAGGTTTATTGGGGGGGGGGGGGTCATGCATGTGGAGGCTGCCTCTGAGAGGGGAAAAGGGACAGACAAAAGACACTGGGTCTTTTTTTAGGGGTATAACTCATGTACATAAGGAGAATAAACAACTCTTGGTGGCAGAGGAAAAGTGTCTCATTTTGGAGGCCTGGTGATGCCATGCCACTGTTTCTAGGTTACTGAAGATGGGCTTAGGTTTTCCAACATCAATTATGATGGATAGTTTTATGTTAACTTGATAAAAACTAAATCATCTGAAATGAGGTAAATTCAATTAAGAAAATGCCTGAGCCTGATACCTGCACAAACATTACAGCCTGTTTGCCTCCCAAAGGTCTGCAGAAACTAAAGAGACAGGTGAAAATCTCATAAAAACACCCACACTTGCTGAGATTACCATGGGGCCCAGATGACACAGGCCCACTTCTCCCACCCCAACCCTCTGAGCTCAACCTTCATGCCAGCCCACTTCCCCTCTCAGGCTGAATTACTGGCCTGATACATGCCCAAACACTACAATCTGCAAGCCTCCCAGGAGTTCCACAGCCAACAAGGGTACAGGATGTCTGCAGCAACCAGGGACACAGGAAGCCTGTTCAAACCAGACACACACTAACCAGAGACGACACTATCTGCCTTCAAGGAGACCAGCCCTAATTTAGATCACACAGCTCTACCTCCCTCCAAGGAAGCCTGTTCTATTTAGTAACACCCAGGCCACTTAACAGAGAGAATCAGAAGGACAGAAGCAAGCCCAAGATCATAAGACACAGAATCCAATGCAATTTGGCAACATGAGAACCCAGTTCTCCCACCACAGCAATCTCTGGATACCCTAACACACCTTAAAAACAAGATAATGACCTAAAAATCCCATCTCATGAAGACTATAGAGATCTTTAAGGAGGATATACAGAACTCCTTTAAAGAAATACAGGAAAACAGAGACAAACAGGTAGAAGCACTTAATGAAGAAACAAATAAACCCCTTAAAGACATACAGGAAAATACAATCAAGCCAGTAAAGCAATTGAACAAAATGTTTCAAGAACTAAACATGAAAGTAGAAACAATAAAGAAAACACAAGAAAAGCAACCCTAAGGATGCAAGCATTACCAACAGAGTACAAGAGATAGAAGAGAAAAATCTCAGGCATAGAAGATACCATAGAAGATAGTGACACATCAGACAAAGAAAATACAAAGTGTCAGATGTTCCTAACCCAAAATATTCATGAAATTCAGAACACAATGAAAAGGTCAAACTTAAGAGTAATAGGAAGAGAAGAAGGTTAAGAATGCCAACTCAAGCCTTTGCCTCCGGACTTCTCTGGGGCCAGTAGCCGCCCGACCTGGGGCCCGGGGCCACGGGCTCAGCCAACGACCATGGGCTCGGTGTCCAACCAGCAGTTTGCAGGTGGCTGCGCCAAGGCGTCAGAGAAGGCGCCAGAAGAGGCGCCGCCTGACGCGGCCCGAGCGGCAGACGAGCCGCAGCTGCTGCACGGGGCCGGCATCTGTAAGTGGTTCAACGTGCGCATGGGGTTCGGCTTCCTGTCTATGACCGCCCGCGCCGGGGTCGCGCTCGACCCCCCGGTGGACGTCTTTGTGCACCAGAGCAAACTGCACATGGAAGGTTTCCGAAGCCTCAAGGAGGGTGAGGCAGTGGAGTTCACCTTTAAGAAGTCTGCCAAGGGTCTGGAATCCATCCGCGTCACTGGCCCTGGTGGCGTCTTCTGTATTGGGAGTGAGCGGTGGCCAAAGGGGAAGAACATGCAGAAGCGAAGAGCCAAAGGCGACAGGTGCTACAACTGTGGTGGGCTAGACCATCATGTCAAGGAATGCAAGCTGCCTCCGCAGCCCAAGAAGTGCCACTTTTGCCAAAGCATCAACCATATGGTGGCCTCATGTCCACTGAAGGCCCAGCAGGGCCCCAGTTCTCAGGGAAAGCCTGCCTACTTCCGGGAGGAAGAGGAAGAGATCCACAGTCCTGCCCTGCTTCCAGAAGCCCAGAATTGAGGCCCAGGAGTCAGGGTTATTCTTTGGCTAATGGGGAGTTTTCAGGGAGGAGGCATCAATCTGCAGAGTGGAGAAAGTGGGGATAAGGGTGGGTTGCACGGGTAGCTTGCACTGCCATGTCTCAGGCCGGGGTTCCCAGTGTCACCCTGTCTTTCCTTGGAGGGAGGGAAAGGGTGAGACAAAGGAACTCCTACCGGGCTCTATCCGAAAGCAAGTGAGGGATTTTGTGGGGGAGCCACCCTAGTACCTGCATACTTTATCTGAGGCTTTAACATGCTTTGCCAAGTAGCTGGGATAGGGAAGTTCCTCTTTTTTAGAAGGCCATGTGATATTTCCCTTGCCAGACAGGATTCGAAACAAGTGTGAAGTCAAGATTAATGACCCTAATCCTCCAGCTACTATGTTCTGTGGAAGGGACTCTTCAGGAGCAAGGCGAGGAGATTTTCATACCATGCTTACTCAAAACCCAGTCCTACGATGTGCTGGGGATGGTCTCTAGCAGCGGGTTGTGATGACAGGCCAAGGGTGGCTGGGGGGACAACTGCAGGCCTGCTGCTCCCGCCTCACTCCCAGCCCTTTCTGGGCCAATGGGATTTTAATTTATTTGCTCCCCTGGGTAACTGCACCTTGGGTCCCACTTTCTCCAGGAGGCCAACTGCACTATCTACGTGCGAATGACGTATCTTGTGCGCTTTTTTTTCTTAATATAAATATTGGGTTTGTATTTTTGTATATTTTAATCTTAAGGCCCTCATTCCTGCACTGTGTTCTCAGGTACATGAGCAATCTCAGGGATAAGTCCGTAGCAGCTCCAGGTCTGCACAGCAGGAATACTCTTTTTTTGTTTTGATCACCATGGAGACCAACCATTTGGAGTCCACAGCCTGTTGAACTACCTCATTTTTGCTGATGACAGCTGGCTTTTCTGCCATAGCGTCCTTGGAAAATGTCTCACAGGTTTTAATTGAGCTGCCCCAAGACTTGATCTGGTTTTGGCAAAACACAGGAAATCAGTCTAAGCAGGAAAGGGTGGTACAGAGACATTAA